ACAGCTGCGGTCGACTTTAGAAAAATAGCTCAACCTAACTATTATTTTTAAAATATGTTTTCAAAATTCCACCAACAGCCACCTAATGGAGGTGTTCGCTATGTTCAGTTTACCTTAGGGTAGGAGTTGGCTCAATCTCAAGTGGTTTTAACCACTTTGGGTTAGCTTAACTCTTAACCCAAGTTAATTCAATGGCTGGGGTAGCTAAAAAAGATGCATTAGTTCAAAGGGGGCCTAATGGCACCTTGGATTGGATTCAATTTGGCTAGGCTTGAAAAACTTATTAAAGGGCCCTCTATTTGGGCACTTGGGTCAAGCCAAATGGCCAACCCAAGTGAGCCCAAAACATGGATTTCTGAGAGGGGTCTCTTTGAAGTCGAAGGGGTCACCCCATGGGTTTAAATGGGGTTGAAATGGTTTTGGTCGAAGTGTTTGTATAAAAGGAGCTGTATGGGAGATTTGGTCAAACTTGATTGACTTGGTCAACCAAATTGACCTATGACCAAGAGTTGGGTTCATTAATTTCAATTTTATCACATAAACCTAATGAATGAGGTCTCAAAGTCTAGCAAGGTCATTTGGATCAAATAGCCTTTTTGGGCTCTTAATGGGACACTAAGTCAAATTAGGTTGACTTGATCAAGAAAGTTAACTCAAGGGATGAGCTTGGGTAAAATAGGTCCCAAATGATGTTTAAAAATGATTGGACAATCTTTCAAGGGTGGATGGAGTTAAGTTAATTTGAATTTTGGTCAGAAGTTAAAAAAATCCGCTTAAAGGGCATTTTTATCTTTTTGGCCTCGAGTCCATCGTGGGTCAAAGTAAAAAAAAGTGTAGATTAATATTCAACATGTCCATATCAAAGGTCTGGAAGAGATCAAAAGGTTTGGAGAGGACTCCAAGGTCAGGTTCCACTGTGTGATAGGTCCAGTGGCATGAGTCATAAATATTTGAAAGCTTTGCAACCTTTGGAACTGAGTTTAGTATATGGCTTAAAAACATTAGATTGAGCTCAAACTTGGAGGACTGACCCCAGAGACATGTCCTATCAATATACAATTAATAGATTCTAAATCAGGAGTCGGCTGAATAGGTTTTGAAGTATTTGAAAAAGCATTAAAAAAGGCTTTCAAGACTTAAACCCTTGGCCTTGGATTTTGGTCTAGATTGATCTAAGATCCAAATTGATCCTCGGGTCTGGGAACTGGAAGGGTCCAAGGGTCTAGGAAATCATAGGGTCTAGCAAACCTTAGGGTCTAAAGTCTAGGAAAGGGTCAAAGTGATCTAATATAAAAATGAGGTTAATAAATAAACACCCAAGATGCATAGTAGAAGGAACTTCTGCTGCACATATTAGCATTTACCAAATAAAAATTTTGAATATGATTTTGAAAGTCTAAGGAAGGGCATAAATCAACCTTAGGTCTATAGGATGTTGATAGAAGGTTTACTCATAATAGACAGATTACATGGGAAACCAAGGTAGGGATCACCTAACCCTAGGTCTAAGAAAGGGCATCACCCAAACTTAAGTCTATAGAATGTTGATATAAGACTTACACCTAATAGACAAATTAACTTGGATAATCATGTGGGGAGGAAGCTTGCTCCACACAGAGGATCAAAATTAGGAAACTAGGGCGGTGCCATAAAGGGCGTACTCCACCACTAGTTGATGGGCATGTGGGAAGGAAGCTTGCTCTACACAGAGGATCAAAACTAGGATACTAGGGTGGTACCATGAAGGGCGTACTCAACCACTAATGGATGGTCATGTGGGGAGGAATCTTGCTCCATACAGAGGATTGAAATTAGGAAACTAGGGTGGTGCTATGAAGGGCATACTCCACTACTAGTGGATGGTCATGTGGGGAGGAAGCTTGCTCTACACAGAGGATCAAAATAAGGAAATTAGGGTGGGGCCATGAAGGGCATACTCTACCACTAGTGGATGGTCATGTGGGGAGGAGGCTTGCTCTATATAGATGACCAAAACTAGGAAACTAGGGTGGTGCCATGAAGGGTGTACTCCACCACTACTTGTTGGTCATGTGGGGAGAAAGCTTGCTCCATGCAGAGGATCAAAACTGGGAAACTAGGGTGGTACCATGATGGGCGTACTCCACTACTAGTAGATGGTCATGTGGGGAGGAAGCTTGCTCCATACAAAGGACCAAAACAGGGAAACTAGGGTGGTACCTTAAAGCGTGAACTCCACCACTACTAGATGATTATATGGGGAGGAAGCTTACTCCACAAAGGGGACCAAAATTAGGAAACTAGGGTGGTGCCATGAAGGAAGTACTCCACCACTAGTAGATTGGCATGTGGGGAGGAAGCTTGCACCACACAGAGGACCAAACCTAGGAAACTAG